ATGGTCCTTGTGAGTCCCTTCCAGCTCAGCCTGTTCTGGGGTTCTGTGATCTCACTTGAGCTTCCACCCTCAGGCCTGACACGGATCCCCAGGTGGCCTCGCTGCCCCAGCCCGGCACTGCGATGGTGCTGTTCGACAACCTGTCGTGCCACCACTCCATCGACGACTTCCGCAACCGCGTCTACTCCTCGCTCTACTCCATGATCAGCGTCCTGGGCTTCGTGGGCAACGGCGTCGTGCTGTACGTGCTGATCCGCACGTACCGGCAGAAAACGGCCTTCCAGGTGTACCTGCTGAACCTCGCCGTGTCCGACTTCCTGTGCGTGTCCACGCTGCCCCTGCGCGTCGTCTACTACGTGCACCGGGGGGACTGGTTCTTCGGGGACCTCCTGTGCAGGGTCGCGTCCTACGCGCTCTACGTCAACCTCTACTGCAGCATCTTCTTCATGACCGCCATGAGCTTCTTCCGCTGCATCGCCATCGTCTTCCCGGTCCGCAACATCAACCTGGTGACCGAGAGGAAGGCGAAGCTCGTCTGCGTCGGCATCTGGGTCTTCGTCACGCTGACGAGCGCGCCCTTCCTGCGCAACGGCACGTACCAGCACGGCAACAAGACCAAGTGCTTCGAGCCCCCGGAGAACACCCACAAGACCAACATGGTGGTAATCCTGGACTTCATCGCCCTGTTCGCGGGTTTCATTCTGCCCTTCGCCGTCATAACCGTCTGCTACGCCATGATCATCAGGACCCTGCTGCGGAACTCCCTGCGCAAGAACCAGGCGAACCGCAGGAGGGCGGTCTGGATGATCGCCATCGTGACGGCCACGTTCCTGGTGAGCTTCACGCCGTACCACGTGCTGCGCACGGTGCACCTGCACGCGCTGCGGCTCCGCAGGGCCGGCTGCCAGGACGCCGTGTACCTGCAGAAGGCCGTGGTGGTGACGCTGCCCTTGGCCGCCGCCAACTGCTGCTTCGACCCCCTGCTCTACTTCTTCTCGGGAGGCAACTTCAGGAAGAGGCTGACCACGCTGAGGAAGGGCTCCTCCTCCAGCTTGTCGCAGGCCTTCAGGAAGAAGCTCTCCGGGAAAGAGAAGGATGAGGAGCCCTTTGGAGAAAGCCAAAGGGAGAATGGAAGGGAAGCTGCGGGCTCTTCGTGAGGAGGTTAGACCTTCCCATGAGGTCTCAGGGCTTTGGAGATCTCAGAACGCTTCCAGGAGACCTGATGGGGGCTTGCAAGCCTTTGGTGTAATTAAATATGTCATAATGACTGTGGACAGTTCATGGCTTGGTGATAGAGCCCCTTCCCCAGGAGCGCTGCTGGGACAGGCACAGCCACGTAGGACAGAGAAACCACCACCAGGACAGTGCTGATCTGCTGAGAAACTCTTCAAAGCCTGTGTTTGGGTATTTGCTTCATTTCACAGCTCTGCCCAGAGTGTTAATTCCCTGAGCCAGTGGGAAATGTAAACACAGTTCGCTGTTCACGGCGCTCAGGGAGCTCCCGACAAACAACCAGGGCAGAGTTTTCACTGAATCTTCCAACAGCCACTCAATTATTTATACAGCAGAGCCCGGGATAATTCCAGCCCTGCTCCAGCTGCCTCTGCCTGGGATCTCTGTTCTCAGGATCAGGATGTGTGTGAGCCCTGCAGGGTTGGTACCCGGGTCTGCAGATTGGGATGGGCCCCTCTCCCAGCCCCAACAGCAGCTTTGGTGGGCAGCAGATTTGCCAGGATTTTCTGAATTCCCAGAAAAATCTTGTTTTCAAATTGCAGCGTCTTACTGAGCGGGATAACTTGGATTAAGGGTAATAAGGAAACTTATTTCAGTGTGACTGGTCCTGTGAGACTGCAGGGTCTGGGTTATCACTCCAGTTCCTCAGGAGGTTTTAGGTCAATGGGGAGCTCTGGCTGCTCAGAGTCCAGTGCAGGAGCAGGTTCACCTTTCTCAACATCAGCCAAGGTTTTAAAAAAAAGAATCTTTTTTTAAAAGAAGCTCTATATAAGATTTGATCCCATTCCAGAGTGTCCACCTTGCCCACACCTTGTGGAAAAGGCAGCCCAAGGCTCTTGGGAAGAGCTCTGGGAAGAGCTGGAGATCCAGAATCTGAGTCTGGATGAGCTTTGATGCTGAAAAAACCACTGGGCTGTGTTCCTTCTGTAAAGGAAAACTTCAAACCCTCAGCCAGAAGGAAACATTCCTGTACTTTTCCAGCGGATCCTGCAGGAAGGGAACACTCCAGGGCCCGGCTGGGGATGTGTGACCCATCAAGAGAGAAATCGAAATTCTTGTAGGATTAAGGTTCTTAGCTGGAAAAGTGGTTGATAAATGACCAGCCAGTATGTTTGGCTTTGGTATTTCTGAAGTTACCCAATGTTATCTTGAATAAAGAAAACAGTTTTAGTAGTGAAGAATAACAGTGAGCAAAAGGGGTTTGGCTTGGGGACAGGGATCTGCTGGAGAAATTGTCTGTACAGACAATTGGAGGGAAAATTCGCTCTGTACACCACAGTCTGCATAGCCCTGGGTCAGCAAGAGGCACCTAAAAAAACAAATTCACCTGCAGAACAAGTTGTGGATGGGAATTTTCAAAATCTGAAACTTCTAAGGGAATTTCAAGGATCTGTTTAGGGGCAGAGGGCTGAAAGCTGCTCCTGCAGAGGGAGATCAGAATCCCCCCTAAACCTGTGGGGGGACAGAGCCCCTCGTTCAAAGCCAGAACTGCTGAGTGTTTGAGGAAAAAAATGTGTAAAGATTGGCAAAAACTTGTTTTCAGGGGTCAGCACTGAGTATTAAAGTTGCATCTCCAGCCTTTAAAGGCATCGTGCAACTGTAAATAAAAATCCTCCTGGGAAACTGTTTTGGAATATGTAGACATCATATGCCCATTCCCAAATTTGAAAATACTGTACAGTAAAGCTAAATATGTGTGTGTGTGTATATATATATATATTACAAAGCATTATACCAGAGGTATTTTTTATTTTAAGGAGACCATGGTTATGACAAGAGAAATGGCAGCTTTTTGTGTGCAATAGGAAAGATTTAAAAAAAAAAAATTACTGAAAACGAAGTGAAAATGTTGCAAGTTAAATTTTAACAATTACTGTTGCCTGTGTTTTAAAGTCTCTGTTGCAGATTCTTCTTCCCTACAATAAATTTTTATCTGCACGCAGCACTAGAGTGTAATATTTGTTTAATAGTAATTTATAGTGGTGGAATAAAAACACTTAGAGCAGCACAGAGGTTGCTGAGATGTTGCAGGGACTCCCTGGCCCAGCATCTTGGAGCTAATTTGGTTCAGCCAAACTGGGCTTTGCTGTAGCCCAAATTCCCTGGACTCAGGCCACCTTCTGGAGCTGCTGGTTGGGGACCTGCTGGAGCCAAACCACTTCTGATGGCTCTTGGCAGACCTTGCCTGGAAGATGCTTGGAGGGAAGTGATGCTCTTGGTGAGGATTATTTATTTGGGTTCCTGCGTGGAGAAATCTGCTGAAAATGAGGTTTTCTACTTGGCTTTCCCCCAGACAGGTGCTGGATCTGCAGGGGGTTGTTTGCTGCAAAGCTCCAGCCCACAGAGGTGAGGAGGGATCTTTGCCGTGGGCTCCCAGAGCTCAGCTCCAGGTGAGAGCCGGGCAGCTGTCCCTGCCTGGGATACAAAAACTGCCATCCTGGCAGCAAATCCCAGCGTTTGCTCAGGAATGGGGACCTGGAGAGAAACTCCTGTTAGAGCAGAGTTAGGAACTGTGGCCCTTAAAGGGCTGGAAAACACGGCAGGAGCTGGGCAGAGGGGACCAAGTGTCACGCTGGGGCGGTGACAGGAATGTCTGGAAAAGGAAAAGGAGTGGGGCGATTTTTTTGCTGGAAACTGGACTTTTTTCAGCTGCGTGTGCTGCAGTTCATGGTCCGATAGTGTCCCCTAGTGCCGAGCTCTTCCTCGCGCTTTCCCTCTTGCTGAGGAGGTTTCCTCTTTTTTTTTTTTGGTCCAGCTCCAGCTCCTCCCCTGTCACGTTGTGCCGTTTCCTCTGCTGTTGGTCACGCTCGGTCCTCTTCTCCCGCTCCTGCCCACATTTGATTTCACAATCTTTGCGTTTCCCTCTCTGCCTTCCTCTTGTTTTTTTTTTTTTTTTGGTCTTCCAGGAGGGATGCTCCAGCTGGGAAGGACCCAGCCAAGGACCCCCTATAGCTGTAGGGACCCCAGCAGTGAGCAACGCTCCCCTCTCCTGCCCTGGGCTCCAGCTGGACCCTCTAATCTCCCTAAAAAATGCTGGTTTTCCATCAAATGACTGTCCCAGCACAGACATGAAAAGCTTTCATGGAAGGCTGTGGTGAGTCCACCTCGCTGTGCCAAACATCCCACCAGTTTGGCCTTGGTGTGTCTGGAAAGGTTATTTCTGATAAAAGCAGGATAGCAAAGCTCTGGGACAAACTGGTGTCCAGCTGTTTGACCACATAGCAGTGGGATGGCCCTGCCTGTCTCCCACCAAAAGCAAAGGAGCATCTGCTGCTGCTGAAAGTGCCCAGAGGACGTTCCCACCCTCCCTCTGTAAACTGTTCTCACATAAAACTCTGGCAGGTTGTGAGAAGCCAACAGCTCTTCATTTTAACGAGCAATAACCTCCAAGCACTGACAGGCAATAAAGAGAGATTCCCTGTTCTGAGCCAGGTGCCTTCTGCCCCCACCAGCCCTGGGCAGGGATTTTGGGGCTGGAGGGGCTCAGGGCATTCCCACTGCCTGAATCCCCCCACCAGCTGCAACAGGGATGGATCTGTGCTCTCAGAAGCTCTGGGTCCTTTAGCAGGAACTGATTCTCCAGCTCAATCCTAATTTAGCACTTTTTTCCCCATTTCCACTGTGCTCTGACACTGGGAGAGGAACTTGTTCCATGTGGCAGAAGAGAGAACACCGGGCCCTGGATCCTTCACCTGCAGCAGCAGAGGGTATGACCTCATCACTGGGGGGGAAATGAAGCAGCAGAGATGAAGGGAAGTCCATCAGATTTTAAAATACCATCAGTGTAAGCAATGCCTTAGAAACATTCCTGAAAGCAAACCTGAGGGGTTACAAATCCCTCTTGGGATTGGCAACACTGGGAACTCGACCCTCCTTCTCCCAACCCTCCTAATTGCAGCCCTGGGAGTGGCCACACGTACAAACAGCTGTCTGGAGTATCTGCAGACTTCACTTTGAGGGGGAAATGTGCCCATTTCATTCTGTCAGTGTGGTTCCTCACGCCTCAGAGGAGCCAGGCTGTGCTGGGAGCAGAGCAAGGACCCTCTGCAAGGTCAGGAAATACATCCCAGATGAGTCTTCAGCAGGTTGGGAGGGGATAAAGGGAAGGAGGTGGCAAAACCACACAATTTTGGTCATTAGTAAAAACACCATGTCCAGGAACACTGCTGCATGTCTCTCTGCTGGGGAAGGCAAAGACTAAACACAGATTGTTTTGGGTTTGGCCTGTTAAAATCCCTTTATTTGTGAGGAGCATGTCTCTGTGCTGCTCTGCTTGAGCTGAACTTCAACAAGGCTCAGGTCACTTGGCTTGTTCAGCCTGGAGAAGAGGAGGCTGAGGGGAGACTTGTTGCTGTCTGCAGCTTCCTCCTGAGGGGCAGCTCCAATCTCTGCTCTGTGAGCAGGGACAGCACCCAGGGAATGGCTGGAGTTGTGTCAGGAGAGACTGAGATGGGATCTCAGGGAAAGGTTCTTCCCCCAGAGGGTGGTTGGCACTGAACAGGCTCCCCAGGGCAGTGGGCACAGCCCCAAGGCTGCCAGAGCTGCAGGAGGGTTTGGGTGATGCTCTCAGGGACAGGGTGGGATTGTTGGGGTGTCTGTGCAGGGGCAGGAGATGGACTGATGATCCTTGTGGGTCCCTTCCAGCTCAGGGTATTTTATGACCTCAGAGCCCCCATGAACTCCCCGGGAATGCCTCCAGGGATCAAGGAGAAGGGGCACAGCACTGCCCTGTGTCCCCACTGAGGGAATCACCCCCAGCCTGGGCAGGAGGCTCCTGCAGGAATTTTACCCCTCAGCCCATGCTGGGATGATGCAAAGGGCTCTCGGGGGGGCTGCTGGGTTTGGGGAGCAGTTATTGCAAAAGGCAAGAGTGTGGCCTGACTGTTAGAATTGCATCTCCCCCAGGATCAGCCAGGGCTGCATTTCCTTTGTGAGTAACCCCCAAGGCAGGACAGTCCCTCCATCTGCCCTGCTCTCCCCCTGTTACTCACAGGAAGCTCGTGGGGTGATGAGCACACGCTGCTTACGTGAGTGAGGGCTCAGGAAGGCTGCGCTGCCCTTTCACCAGCATTTTTCAAGGAAAATGGAACGGGAAGGTCCCCATAATCAGCCTTGAGCTGCTGCCTCCTGTCAGCAGCATCTCCTCCCACCCTCCTCGTGTCCTTGGACACCCCAGCTCACTGTGCCAGAGGGTCACAGGGCTCCAGGGCTGCTGTGGGGTTCCTCCTCAGGCTTTCCTGGTGCTCAGGTGGGAAGAGCATGCAAGCAGCTCCCCTACAAACCTGGAGCAGCCTCCTCAGCTGTGGGGAAGAGCTTGTGGTCCTCAGTTTGGGCAGCACCCAGCTCCCTACAGGAGCAGAGGAGATGGAGCCAGGTTGGAGACCCCCCAGCAGCTCCCCAGTGCTGAGGTGGCCCACAGGACCTGCCCCAGAGAAGATCCACGAGCCAGGCACGAGGTCTGTGTGGTCCCAGGCAGGGCAGGACTCGAGGGGGGCAGAGGTTTTGTGCTGAACTCAGGTGGATTTTCCTCTTTTGGATGCAGCACAATGACTCTGGGCAGGGTTAATCACATCCTGTGGTGGGAAAAACAGACCTCAAGGATGTGAACTGATAAAACAGAGGTGCTGAGAAACGGATGTGAAAGCCCTGGGGGACAGTCCAGCACCTCCTCAGGTCCTGGGTGCCTTGGGGTCTCCCAGGAGCCTGTTCAGGTCTGAATTGTGCCACT